GCGGTTGGTGCTAGTTGCTGGTGCTAGCGGCTGGTGCTAGTTGCTGGTGCTAGCGGCTGGAGCTAGCGGCTGGTGCTAGCGGCTGGTGCTAGTTGCTGGTGCTAGCGGCTGGAGCTAGCGGCTGGTGCTAGCGGTTGATGCTAGCGGCTAGTGCTAGCGGCTGGCTCTAGCGGCTGGGACTAGTTGCTGGTGCTAGCGGCTGGTGCTAGTTGCTGGTGCTAGCGGTTGGTGCTAGTTGCTGGTGCTAGCGGCTGGTGCTAGTTGCTGGTGCTAGCGGCTGGAGCTAGCGGCTGGTGCTAGCGGTTGATGCTAGCGGCTAGTGCTAGCGGCTGGTGCTAGTGGCTGGTGCGTTTCGGTTTGAAGGGTGGGGCAGCCGTTGTAACTATACTGAGACCTTACAATTTCTCAAGGTGGGTGGCATTTACATTGGCATTACATTTAGATGTTTATGGGCTCCGGTAACTACTTAACACCAGGTGAGCCGTGAGCTCTTCGACCGATCAAAGCAACATAGAAAAAAAAAGTCAACTTTTTTGATGGATATAACGGATTGGCACCGTGGAGGATTATGACCACAACCCTCCAAAGAAAATCACAATCCCTACGAACTATTATTAACTAATATTAACATACAATGTTAAGACTCTATCTTCATACGAACGTTTATTGGAATTAGAAAAACGCTTAAGTACTATAAAATATGACATTAAGGGAATCTCAGAAGTAAGACGTCAAGGTTGTGAAATTAAAGAACATGAGAACTTTATACTCTGCTACAAGGGACAAACAGCAGGACAATATGGGGTGGGCTTCATAATAAACAAGACAATAAAAAACAATATCGAGAGCTTCATTGGTATATCAGAGCGCTTAGCTATACTCAACTTAAACATAGGAGACCATAAGATATCCATTCTGAAAGTCTACTTCCATACGACAGATGCAAAAGAAACTGAAATTGACAAATTATATGAGTCAATTGAGAAAGCACTAACAACTACACATACACATATCATACTTACATGGGCAATTTCAATGCTCCTACCTTTAGGAGCGCCTAAAGAAAACGAAGATTTGGTCGTGAAAAAACATGGACACGGCACAAGGAATAGCAGAGGCCAGAAACTTGTGAGCTTTGCGCTCGAACATAAGTTGACAATAATAAATACCTGCTTTAAGAAAAACCCAAACCGAAAATGGACTTGGATTTCGCCGAATGGGCATCACAAAAACGAGATTGGCTACATTCTCACAAACCAACCAAAATTATTTGAGAACCTCGAAGTTCTGAACCTGAACTACCCATCTGACCATCGTGCAATAAGAGGATCAGTAAAGCTCTCTAAACATAAACTAAGCAGAGCCCGATTTACCAATAAACAAGAATACCAACTTAGAAGCCTAAAGGAAATAGAAAAATATAAGGACAACCTTAAACTGAAACTATCTGAGGCAGCTATCTACCAAACAAACGAAACGATAAATACTTGTTATGATAAAATCAGCAATGCTATTTCTGAAAGCCTATAAATTGCAAAAATAAACAAGAGAAATTATTAATATAAAATACCGCAAGAAAGAACTGAAAAATTGCTACAAAGAAGAAAAGTACTACAGTCAACCAAAAATTAAACTCGTTCCATGAAAAACGAACTCTCTGCCTTATACAAAATAGTCAACAAATATATAAAAAAATATTATTTAAAATACAAACAAGACACTATACTGAGACACCTGCAGCTTTGCGGTAGCACGAAGAAACCATTTAAAGAGCTTCGAACAATTAAGTGCTGGATAAAAGGATTGAAAAATCTGGACAAAGAAATATACAAACGAAAAGATATTGTCTAAGAAGTTTTATAGAAATTTATACAGTAGCAACAATAACAATATAACAACGCCAAATAACAGCAAAGAAGACCAATCTAAAAAATATACAGAGATAAATGAAAACGAAATCATAGAAACAATACAAAATCTGAAACTTGAAAAAAGCCCAGGCTCCGACAACATTACAAACGAAGTACTGAAAGCTGCTCAATTAATTTAGCCATTTAGCATTTAGCACCATTAGCGAAACTCTTTAACTCGATACTTCAACACTCTGTAACTCCCACTCAGTGGTCGGAAGCAAATATCATATTGTTATATAAAAAAGGAGACCCTAAAAATATTGGCAACTATAGACCAATCAGGCTACTTCCTAGCCTCTACAAATTGTTCTCTACAGTTATTAAAACACGAATAAGTAAAACACTAGAAACAAAACAACCAGTAGAACAAACGGGCTTTAGAAAAGGCTTTTCAACAATTAACCACATCCATACAATAAAGTTAATAATAGTAAAATATCAAGAACACCAGAGAACTCTATATATAACTTTTATTGACTACCAAAAAGCTTTCGACACCGTCTCGCATCTTCGACAACAGCATATGGGAAAGTTCGGCAGAGCAAGGAGTTGAAGAAGTAACTAGTCAGGTCATAAGTATTGTCACACAGTAAAAACTTTTCTTTTAGAATGCTGGCCACAAAAAAGTTTATTGAATTCGAATTTCGAATTGTTCATGAAAATAAAAATGTATAAACTTTTAGAATTTTACTCATTTTTAAATATGGAGTGGACGCTTAAAGAAGACCGTGTTGCAGTTATTGCGTTGCATCGTTGCGGTTACGCGCTAATTCAAATTTTTAACATACTGAAAAATTTGAATATAACCAAAAGATTCGTTTATCGTACCATCAAACGATACAATGATGACTCTAGTGTAGATGACAGGTCAAGAAGTGGTCGCTCTCGGTCTGTTAGGACTCCAGCAGTGATAAAAGCTGTGAAGGCGCGAATTCAAAGAAATCCCAAACGTAAGCAGAAACTGTTGGCCCTTCAGATGGAATTAAGCATAACCACGGTGAAAAGGGTGTTAAATGAAGACTTAGGGCTTCGGGCATATCGAAGAGAACAGGACATCGTTTGAATGCTCGTCTAATGGACCTGAGACTGAAGAGATGCCGCGCTTTGTTGTAGCGGTACGCGGGAAAAAAATATCGGGAAATTATTTTTTCGGATGAAAAAAATTTTACCGTAGAAGAGAGCTACAACAAACAAAATAATAAGGTGTACGCACACAGTAGTGAAGAAGCGAGCAACCGTATTCCGCGTGTCCAACGAGGTCATTTCCCATCCTCGCTCATGGTATGGTTGGGAGTTTCTTATTGGGGCTTAACAGAGGTACATTTTTGTGAAAAAGGTGTAAAAAAGAATGCAGTTGTGTATCAAAATACAGTCCTGACGAACCTTGTGGAACTTGTTTCTCATACCATGCTCAATAACAGGCACTGGGTATTCCAACAAGATTCGGCGCCAGTTCATAGAGCGAAGAGCACACAAGACTGGCTGGCGGCGCTTGAAATCGACTTCATCCGGCACGAAGACTGGCCCTCCTCCAGTCCAGATTTGAATCCGTTAGACTACAATATATGGCAACACTTGGAGGAAAAGGCGTGCTCAAAGCCTCATCCCAATTTGTAGTCACTCAAGACATCCTTGATTAAGGCAGCCGCCAATATTGACATGTACCTCGTTCGTGCTGCGATAGACGACTGGCCGCGCAGATTGAAGGCCTGTATTCAAAATCACGGAGGTCATTTTGAATAAACTTTAGTGTCATAAGAATCTATGTTTTGTTAAGTTCATTTTGGTATATGAATGGTTACATAATGAATAAACTTGTTTCAATTATTTTACATTAAACATGTGACAGAATTTATGACCTGACTAGGTA